CATGACGAACATGAAGTTTATGTTCTTTTGAGTTCTTAGAATAGATTAAGATATCGTCTAGATAACAGACAACAAAATCATCTAAAAACTCCTGAAAGACATCATTCATTAGATGTTGAAATGCTGCTAGTACATTTGTAAGTCCAAAAGGTATGATGTTGTATTCAAAATGTCCATACCTTGTTCATAATGCAATCTTCCATTCATCTCTTTTTTTGATACGTACTAGATTGTATGCTCCTTGAAGATCTATTTTTGTATAGATCTTAGCTTCATTCAACTCATCAAGGAGTCCAGATATCAAAGGTAGCGGATACATGTTTTTGATGGTGATTTTGTTGAATCCTCGATAATCGATACACATCCGCAATGATCCATCTTTTTTCTTCACAAATAAAATTGGAGCTCCTGTTGGAGATTTGGAATGGCGTATGAAGTTCTTGGCTAGATTCTCTTTAATATACTCCTTGAGTTCAACCAACTCATTTTGAGATAAATTGTAGATTGGTTCAAATGGCGATTATGTTTCTTCTTAAAGATCAATTGAGCACTCATCAAAATGATGTTCCGGAAGAGTATCCGCATTTTTTTTCTCAAATACATCTTGAAAATCTTGATATTGGCTTGGAATGCTACTTAAAGACTTTCTACCAGTAAAAATAGGTGTGGCATAAATGACGCAAGATGATCCTTCTATTGCAACATGTAAGAAAGCTCTTATACCTACAAATACAGATTTAATTGTACTAGACTTATGACTTTCTACTTGATTAACTACATTCTTAGTTATACTTTCAGAAAAGTCAAGACTACGAGAAGTCCAATCTATTTTAGGGTTGTATTTTTTTTTCCATGATAAATCTAAAATAACTGGATTAGAGGGAGATGTAATGATATTAAATATTAAAAAGCTACTATGACCATTAGTTGTTACTTCTATAGGAAGGATTTCATGAATAATATCTCTTGAAGATAACGGACAACCATCTATGACTTCTACATGAATAGGTTTAGTTTTCTTCACTAAAAGTATACTATGTCTTTTAGCAAATTCTTCATCTAAGAAACATGCTGAGATTCCTGAATCTAGCAAGGTAGAGGCTTTGTGATGTTTAGGTCCTAGAATAATATTTATCGTAAAACATGAAGAGGGTTCTGAGGAGAGAATAAGATCTTCATTAGGTATTGTACAAGGTTCCAGTTGCACGGTCCCTATTATAGCTAGACAAATTCATTTTCCCTTATATTATCTTCTTTGATCGCCATACTCTTCATTTTATAGTTGTGTCGCTTCTTTGGGCAATGTTGAGCAGTGTATTTAGGTTCTCCACAATATAAGCACAATCCTTCCTAATGACTGCGAGTCTTTTCTTGCTCAGTAAGAGGTTTGAAATGTACTGCATCGATTTATATATCTTCTACTTTCGAATATATGTGTTAAATAGATATTAGTGTTGCCATTGAATTATAGTAACGTTGAGGTCCATTTATATGGTTCTCTGATCGGAATTCAAAAAGATGATTGTCGCACTTTATAACAAAGTTAATTACTTGATTCAATGTTTCAAGATCAGGTAAGTTGACCATTAATTTTTTTACCTCATATTGTGATCTATAGAGAAATTGGCTAACAAGTGTAGCATCATTCCACTTGATATGAGTCGCAAGTTGTCAAAACTGTGAAGCACATATTGTTATTGATCGATTGCCTTGTCATAAAATACGGACCTTATTGGTTGCAATACGAATTGCATCATGTTCTTCATACATGGATCAAAACTCCGCCAAAAAAGCCTCTAGATTATCCAATATTGGATCTCGTCGTTCAAGAAAAGATAAAAATTACAATAGTACTAAACCTAAAAGAAGCGTACCAATGAATCTAACTTGCGATCCTGGAATTGGATAGCTTTGAGGTTGAAGTTCAATCACAAGTTGTACTTGATTGATAAATCCTCAAAACTTAGATCTGATGCCATCAAACTTCTCGGGTAAGGCAATTCTTGGTTCTCTAACATTGAAAGGGTGTTCCACCATAGGAGAAAAGACATAGTTTGGTGCAGATGTTGAAGCAGCTCCAACCATTTCTATATCTTCACTTCCTGCCAATCTTGTTGCTCCTTGTGGTGGTAAATTGAGTTGATGCATGGCAAGCATTAACTCCCTCAATTGTTCTTCCATTTGTGCCATTGCACTCTTCATTTCAATAAGTTCTGCCATGATAACACTTAGAAAAAAAAAATACCTAATATTGCTTAAGACAAATAGAAGAGAGGATTTGAAAACAAAAAAAATACTAAAGACAATATCAGTGTAGAAGAGGGTAATCCGTAACTTCTAATACGCTTATGTCTTATTAAGAGAAAGGGGTAATCCACTCTTAATCAAGATTAGACAAAGCTCTGATATTGTAAGTGTACTCTTGTCAATCTATCAAGGACAAGAACTTGATAAAGACAAATAAACAAGTGAGACTTTTTTCAAAGAAAGATGACAAAATAGAAATAATTGAATATATATATTAAGAAAGAAATTGGAATGGCTATTGCCAAAAGACAAGAAAACCAAAGACCCTTGAAACTAGACTAGAAGTAAGAAAAGAGTTGACAAGAGTGAAGAGGGCTTCACTCTTGTCTCTATATATACTATCTTACTTATAAGGCAAGTTTTTCTACATGTGGGCTACATAGTTAGTTTGGTCTTCAAGCTAATAATATGTGTGGCACATGGCCAACTTGTTGACCACGTTTCTAATCCCAAAAAGTCAATTAAAGACACCTATAAAGTCAAAGCAGCATCTATGAAGCTTCTAGGAAGCTTTCATATTAAATACTATAGAATTAACTTATTTTTATCTACTTTTACTTACTTCTACCTATTTATACAAGTAATTACAAGCTTATATGCGTATGTCCATGACAATAATTCCAAATCCTAAATAAATCCTAATCAAATTAACTTAACTCCAAAGTAGTTTAGAACCTCATTATCTATCAATTATACCATTGATCTTACTTAAGATTTTACACACCTCTCAACAACTAAGTTGGTAGAAGTATACAAAATTTGAAGAAGATCAAACTTACCAAATAGAAGATTGATCCTAAATTTTGTTTAGGTGTTGGTTGGCTTCCTACTCTAATATAAATGTTGAACTTCCAATACCAATATCTCCTTTTTGAACCATTGAATTGCTTCCAAAATAAATCTAAACTATAGAAAATCAAGTCTAATTTCCATACAAAATAAAATCACTTCATTCCAATCAAAAAATTACTAAAGATCTTAAAAATATTTATTAATCTTCAAATTCTAATTTTTAAGACCTCAACCCTCAAAAACCTTCACTAACTTCAATCTAACTATTCAATTGATCTCAAATTTTGCATGCACTCTTATATCTAGAATGCCAATATATTGCCCAAAATTCACTTGTACTTAAATCACAAAACTCAAGAAATCTTCAATTTTATAAACATAATTTTATTTTTCAAAATCTAATCTAAGCAAGAATATCACTAACTTTGAAAATCTCCCAAAAACTAAATATTAACTCGATTGATGTAAAACCAATCTTCAAAAATCTCCAACTCTACTCTTTGATCTCTCCAAAAAAAAATCCTAGAGTTGCTATAGATGTGCAGTTTTATGCCTCAAGGTTTGATTTCGACCCAAGTTGACAATTGATCCTCTCCGAGAATCAATATTTGATAATTTGAGGTAATTTTTACTTATGAAGACTAAATATTTTATTACTTTCCTATCATTTATCCTTATTTTTTTATTACAACTTTCTACTAGGTTCTTTTATAATAACACCCATGTTTTCATTTTTCACCACAAAGTTGTGTTACTACATGACACCATTATGCCAAAATAGACACAACTACCCAATTTCATATTATAGTTTGATTTTTTTTATAATAGTTTTAAATCCACTTGCTTAATTAACTTTAAATCCTCATACTTTTCCTAAATCTCTTTATTCATCTTCAACTCTTAATACATCCATAAAACATACTTTAAGCCTATTCAAATTCTATTTTGTTTTATTTTTTATAATATAAAAACCATTTTCTCCACACTAACAATCATAAACTAGATCAAATATTTCTCAATTTAGATTAGAACCTCTAATCTTTGAATATCAACTTAATATCATAGGTAGTTTAGGATCAATGCAAACCAATATGTCAAGACTATCCAATCTTTGAATTATATAGTTTACAAAGATAATGTTTTGTAATTAAACTGAAACCCCTCACCTTCATATTTCCTTAGATGGTGGCATCCTAAAGCTAACCTTATTCCACCGACACATCTGGAATGATATGTCCGTAGAACACGCCTTCCCATTAATCTGCAAACAATCCTGCAAAGTTACGATGTAAAGCCCACAGGCACCACCTAGGGAGCTACCCAGCTTACAAAATCCAAACTTAAGCCTGAAGGGCTTTTCTCATGACGGTGACAAATCTCACAACTCCTGTGAAGACAGGGAGCTACCCAGCTTACAAAATCCAAACTTAAGCCTGAAGGACTTTTCTCATGACGGTGACAAATCTCACAACTCCTATGAAGACAGACAGCCGAAGGAATCACACACTCAACTGGTAGTACATCTGAACGAGGCTCATTGCTTCAAAATTAGCTAGTAATCTTAGCAGTGCTGCAGCAATGTTGCTGGGCTCAATGTTGCCTGCAATGGTGGCGAGGTCTAGATTTGCCGAGCTGAACGCAAGCTTAGTGATGAAATATATATATATATATATATATATATATGTATTTATGCTTTTTGAGTAAGACATGAATTGAGGGTGTCGGTTGAAACAGTTGTGTGTATGGGACTCAGGCTTTCTGCTCCGGATCGGCTAACTGTAGGCTCCGCCACATAGTGCTTCTCTTTGGTGAGAGCTTGGAGGTGGTAGTCCACGGTGGAGCCTGCGAAAGGACGGATGTACTGGAAGAAGCAGGAATGGCGAACAGAGAACCCCTCCCCCCCACTAAATGCTCTAGGGAAATATAATTGCAGGCGGAACCCGTCACAGCACGCCATCGCCATCGCCGTCCCCCCCGTCCAGCTTCTTGCTGCCGTTGCCACTGTGCAGAACACTGCCTTCTCTTTCTGAACTCGAGTCCAAATTGAAAATATTGTCTGAGAGCTGATTAAGTCACGTCTCTGGTTCTCTGTCGAGCCGAAAAAACGTGGTGGTCGTGTGATGAATGCTTCGGCCTCTGCTGGGAGAGATATTGTGCTCTGGGCTTGAGATGATATTTGAACGCGTGACGATGCTTTCTTGAGTCAGGCCGATCTGTGGTACTTGTGAAGTTTTAAGAGTTGCTTGTGAGACACCTTGTTGCGCTTTGTGGAGTTTCAGGGGGCTTGGACGTGGAAGCGGTGTTGTGTGCGTGTTTGTTCTATTTGTTTTGGTTTCTGCCGTCTTTTCTTGGCAACGTGTTGCGAGATTATTGTTTTAGTCACTTCTACTATGCTGCGTGACCCTATTGCTCTTTGCTGATTTCTTAGATAAAAGTTGTTGTCATTCTTAGAAGTCACAGCTGAAAGGGTTAAGTGAGCCTTGTGGACGATGCCACGAGATGATCACGCCCGGTAACCAGCCACGTGCGTGAAGTGTTTTTCCCTGCGTTACTGAGAGGGTTTTTCAGTCTTCACTATCCGATCGGAGTGCTACACGATCTTGGGAAAGGTGTTGTCTATCCAAAGCGCTCCACGGACGTTCTCTGGTCATTTTCAGGCTTTCGTTGTGCATATCTGCAGACCAAGTCCGTGGACTGACTAAGTCATCTCTTCACCTCGCATTCCTACTCAGTTGCCCGAAACTGGGTTTGTACTTCTTCATGCTTGCATCCGCACACTCTGCTGTTCCAATTTGTGCCACCCTGAAACTGTTTGATATTTCTCATGCGCTCTATGTGTTTTCTTGTGAAGATTGAGGAGTAGAGCACCGTTCTGAGTCGTTATATCTCTCTTTTAGGTATTCGTACGTGCTGTTTAACGTTTTATGTAACCAGCACCTAATTTCTTGTCCAGAGAAAGTTAGCATATAATTTTTAAATTGTGCGAAATCCAGTCGTCAGAATTGTCATCGACGCTGGCTTACAGATCCCAGCGATACTCGCTTCAGTTGCTGAATACTGTCGTGGATGCGTGTGCAGGTTTTATAAGTCACAGTGTGCCTGCGCTCGTGCAAGGGCTTGGATGTGCGTTTCTGCCCCCCTAATGCCACTATGACGAGTATAATACAAACTGCGGCTCACATTGGTCTCCATCTTCACTGTTCCGCCTCTTTGCAGCAGAACTCTTCAATGGCTGTGCTGTCGTCACGAGGTCCAGTTACGAACAGCAGCAAACTTAATCAGTCGTCTTCCATTGTTCTCGCTAATGTTGGATTGGGAACCAGTTCAGAGCGAAGGTCATGGCAGATGCGTAACTCAAGCATGTCTTTTAATAACGGTCTCTCAATCGACGAGCCCTTCAGCGAAAACGAAGATGATTGTGTGGACTCAACTGTGCTGGAAGCACTCGAGGTCAAGAGCAGGCCCGAGGGTTTTGTCATAAAGATGCGAGATGGTCGATTCCTCAAGTGTGAGCGTAATGTCCCCGATTCTGGCTGTCTTCCTGACTATGGTCCCCAACCAGCGATCGTCTTGCAGCTAAACAAGTGCTCCAAACTTCTGCTCCCAATAATTGTGCTGGAGCTTCCTTGCATGATGCTCATTGAGGCACTCCGCAACGTCCCCGTCATTCGACCCACAGTCTACGACGTCATGAAGGACATGATCGAGGTGATGGGGTACCAAGCTAAGATGGTGCGCATCATGCGTCGCGTGCATGAAGCTTACTGCTCGCGTCTTTATCTCACCAAGGTGGGGAGCGATTCAGGGGATGTTTTGACCATGGACCTTCGCCCCTCTGATGCTGTCAACTTGGCTGTGCGTTGCAAGGTGCCAATCCAAGTAAACAAGTGGCTTGCGGAAGGAGATGGCGTGTTCGTGGTGGACGAGACTGCGAAGCTTCAGTCTCGCACGCCGCTGTCCTTAGCAGCCTCTCTTACAATGACCAACCTTGACAGACCCGACTCTACTTCCTGTGTCGCCGCGGAAGAGTTTGCTCTCGTGAGAGGTATGATGGTGGCTGCATTGGAGGAACGGTACAGCGACGCTGCAAAACTGAGAGACGAGCTTAGACATCTGCGCAGCAGAAAAAAATTGTCTCGCCAGTTTAAGCAAATCTGAAGAATCCCATGGTTTCCCAAGTTGTTGAAAAAATCATTCTTTGAGCAGAAAGGTTCAGACAGTGGTGCAAGCATGTTGACGTTACTCAAGCGCTGAGCTCCATGCTTCGGAGACACTACCTGATGGGGGTACTAGACAACGCAAAAGTGCGGTGCTAGTGGAAAAAGAATAGCTGCAGGGATTTTGCTTGGAGAGCTTCAATCTGTCGAAATCATGGACATGGGTATTTCATGCATCTCGTTCTGAATGTGCAAATCCACGTCTAGATTTTGAGCATCACTTTCTTACATCTTTCGTTCACCTGCATTCACTCCTTCCTGGCTCTTCCACTTTCTCTTGGATCCAAGCAGATGTGCACAGTTCCTGCGAGAACCCAGTTCGTGAATGCCTTCGCGGTTTGATGAGATTGGTGCCGAAGATGGATACCAGTTTTCCAACTTGGTTTAAGGTACATACTGAAGTTTTTTGATGTATTGTTTTATTTTCTTCTATCCTCGTTTGATCCAAGAGACTACTGGAAGTTGCTGTTTTGAAGCGCTTTACTTGTCTTAAATGAACGTAGGTAAAGAACTTGCATCAAAGTTGTCTATCACTGGTATAGTGTATTGGGTCATTTGTAAATCACTTTCAAAGTAGTGTGTTGGGTCATTTTTCTTTCAATATTATTTCTTCCAATATTATGCCGCTTGAGTTTTGGATGTTGGTCACTGATAACCAATTATTTATCAAGGCATTTAGTCCTACTACAAAAACATGCAACTTGTCCAAAATTATCAATTTATGATTTATTGATTATTTTAAATATAAAATAATTTATAAGATAGGTTTTCAATTTTTTTTTCTTTTAAAAAGATGTATGATTCATTATTTGTTGCTATATTCTTGTTGAAAGAAGATAAGACTGGTCAACATAATTTAATTCAATGAATTAAGATTAAAGCATAATCTATTTGTGTGTAAAAAGATATGATCATGATCTATTAGTACATGATTTTAATACTAAATGATCATGTACTAAGAGGTCGTACATGATCTTTTAGTATGTCATATATCATCTCTTAGGACTATAATTTTAATTAAGTTTCTAAGTATTATAGAACTTAAATCAAAGTTCTTTACTTAATTAAAAGTTGGTGGTTGAAAGTATCTAGTTTGGAGTTGTTTATATAAAAGAAGTAAAAGAAGTATATAAAAGTAGAGTTGTGGAGTAGAGAATTTAAATGATAAGTAATATGATAAATTTAAAATATTGTTGTAGATATATCTATACAGATAGATGAAGTTTTTACTAAGTTAAAATAGAATAAATAAAATAAAAGATTAACAATGTACTATAGGTTGTCTTTGATTAAAGTTTCTTCATTTAATTAATAAAAGATAAATTATTTCATAATTGAGTATTATAGATTGAAATAAGAAAATAAGTTTAAATTATATTAGCATTAAATATTATTTTATTATTTTATTGTTATTTAATTACCAATATTTATTATATTGAGTCATGATTCCAGCCATATTAGTTTATGGATCATTTTGAGTTAAATTTTTAAAAAATTATATTATGCCTATATAGACTATGATAATTTAGCAAATTAATTGTGCAAAATTTTATTCTATTTATTCTATTTGTTTACTAAGTTTTTCAATGTTAGTATAATTAAATTTAAAAAAAGCTTGAAGCACAATATCTTTTTTTATTTATATATATATATACATATATATATAAATGAGGCCATATAAGACAAAGACACCACTTCTCATTTCATGCAGATTATATGGCATTTAATATAATTTAAATTCTATTTTATTGTCTTCTATCTTTTAAATTATATCCAATAAATAAATAATTAATATCCCCTTCCTCTTTCCTCCTTGTCCTTATATTGTACATCATTGTTTATTGTTTGCTAAAATAGATAGACTCCTTGTACCAATGCTTGGCACACTCCTCTTCAATACAATTTGTATTCCGGTTTTTACTCCTATTACACTTGTCTTTTAGCCTTCTTTATATCTTGTGATATTTTTTCTAGTATTTCTTAAAATAATTTATTTCTTTTGAATGCATGTCTAATTAAAAAATAAATGATTTCTAACTTGTGTGTATTTTTTAATTGCAAATTTGTATGTAAACAAAATACATGAATTTCAAAAACCAAGAATCTGTATATACAAATTAATATTTTTTAAACAAAAAGGGCCAGAAAACAAAAAAAAAAAAACAAAACAGGACAAAAGTAACATCCAAAATAGAAAGAATAAAATAACATTGAAGGAGTTTGAGCCAATTCAAAATAGTTATTTGTAATTAAGAGGATGATGCTAAGAATTTTTGGACGATAGATCTAAGAATATTCTAATAGCAATTGGTACATCAAAAAAAATATATAAAAAATAATCTAACAATAAAAGTTAAAAATCTTCTTACAAAAGAATATTCTTAATAATATGGTCACCTATGTCCATGTTGGTTGATGCATATATGATCAATCAATCAATCAAAATGACATTTATTAAAGAATAGATAATTTAATATTAACAATTTTATTTAAAAATGTATGTGATGGTAACAAAGAATAAATATACATATGATATTATAAACTTATAACAAATTTGATATATTAAAGAATTATTTTCACACTTTTTGACAAAAATCACCTCCATATATTACTATATTATTGAACACTTCTTAGTGTATTGCTAACGATGCCAAAGATGTTATTTAGGATTAATTTTATTATTTTTATTTTCATGGGTGATATTTTTATTTTATTTTAATTTTAAAACACATTCAAAGCTTATATTTTTTTTAATTAAAACTATGAAAATTTAATCTCTATGTAATATAAATAAAACCATAATTTTATGCTTTACCAAGATTAAAACTTTTGATTAATTAATATTATATTTTTTATTTAGTTATTTAAAATTTTAACTTTTTAAACTTTATTTATTACAAAAAAGATTTGTAATTGTGGATTTGGATTTTTTATTATTTTTTAATATAGAGCACAAATGGGAACTTGAGACACAAAGATTGAGATAGGATACACAAGCTAGGAATGGAAATAAGGAGGTTGAGATGGAAAACAAAGGCTGCAAATGAGAATAGGGGATAGAGAGTTAAGATGGAAAACATAAATTAGGAATGGAGATGGAAAGTTGGAATAATAGACATGGAATCAAGATGGAAAACATGGGTTGGGAGTAAGGATGGAAGCTTAAGACAATAGATAGAGAGTAGAGATAGGGAATCAAGATCAAGAATAGGGGTTGTGAATGGAAATAGAAAACATAGGATCAGGATCAAGATAGGGAACAAGGGTTGCAAATAGGAATGGGAGACAAAAGAATAAGGGCATGGGGATCAAAAAAGAAGACGGAGATTGCAAATAGAAATGGAAGACAAAGAATTCAAGATGGAGGATGTGGATTGCAAGTAGAAATAGAAGACAAGAGAGTCACTACAAGTATGCATGGTGGAAATAGAAATGGAAGATGAGGTTACAATAGTGGTTTTCATGGGTGGATTGATTTAACCACAATTGGAATTGATTTAACATCTTCATGTATATATTATTAAAAAAAATCAAGAAAATTTACTTTTTTTCATAAAAGTTAATAAAAGTAGTTGTTAAAGTCTAATTTTAAGTGTTAATATTCCTAAATAGTTTTTTTAAAAAATACAATAATACACACTTGTATTATAGAAATATCATCTAAAATTTTATAAATCAATTTAATTTATACTAGATACAAAAAAACCAATAAGATTTTTTTATAAAATATAGTTATATTTTTAAAAGGCTAAAATAAAAATATTTTATGTTTCATTTATTTATTGTAAATGCAACTAGAAATTTGTAAATATTAATGACAATTATTATACACTACTTAAAGATATGTTATATGATAATATTATAAAATTTTAATAATAATAATAATAATAATAATATATTAAAAAATACAAAAACATAGAATATTCTATTTACATATCTCAAATCCACATCACAAGTGAGCATTGTTTCTAAAACATTATGTAGCCTCTTTCTTTTTTTCTATTGATACAGCCAAGGTATCTCCAATGGATTGATTAGAGAATTAAGTACATGACCTTCATGGACCTTGGACCCCAAAAATTGGGCGGTGAGTGAAGCTCTAACACTAATGCAAGACTAAATGTTATTATATGTTATTAATTGAGCTAGTGTGCACAATTATGCCACCATAAGGGAGAATTGGATTCCACATTATTGTGGATTTACTGTGACAACAGAGTTAGCCTTTTCCTCCCTCTTTCTGTCTTGTCTTGTTTGCTTGAGCCCATGTTTCTCTTCTTCTTCTTCTTCATCACTAACCGGGATTGCTTGTGGAGTTGCTGCTGTTTATTGTGGAACATTACGAGTTCCCTTTTGCAAAACTCTTGTTTTGCACTGGTTGTCTGTCTCACACACTCCACTTCACTTATCCAAATCCCCACTTCGTTTCCTTCATCTAATGCCTCCAGACTTTACGGCCTGAAGATCCCCTGCTACCTATCGCAGATTACGCAGATGTATCGTCAGCAGGAAATCTAGGTTGTTTCTTAATGCATGGGGTGTCGTGGTGGGCAATTCAATCGCAGGACATTTAACTTTCATGTTCAACTCGGCTTGTTATAGAACAGCGGAAGTCTCCACAGTACACTAATGATTTTATAAAGACTCACGATGCCGTCGATCAATCACAGGTGGTGCATTTGCTCGCAGCTACAACCCTGAAAAGTTGCCTCACTGATCTTATCTAGCTGAGGAAACTCCTCTTGATCGTCGTCATGGTTTGCTGATTTGTCTCTGCGCTGCAGGCATCTAGGTGATTCCGAGGCACCGTGTCCAGAACAAGCTGTCCGTCACGTTCGGTGAATGGATAATCGTTCATAATCGCAGCAATCATCGGAAGTGATCAGCACCTTCCTCCCTGCATCGTCTCCACACTCGAACTGAAACGCACAGGAAGCCCAATTCACGCACAGCCGCATGGCATACTCTCCGCCATTTTCCACTTTCGAGACAGGGGCGAAATCGAGTCCGCTGCCCGCTGAAAGTATCATAACACACTTGCTTGCATTTCGTGTCGCGGAAGTGATCTTGTCGTCCACCATTTTGCCCAAGGGCCCTGTACCGATCGAGGTCTCTGTAAGGAATTGGATTAGGTGCTATCACAGGGACAGGAGGCAGTTCGAAAGGGGGAGGGTTTTAATTGTGTAATCTGCAACTAATGCACGGATAAAACCGTGAGCTTTGATGCGCGCGATCCAATTTAACCACTACACCAGCTCGACCGAGTGCTTGACATGCACAGATGGTTTGCAGTCAAACTGGGGAGAGTGAAGACTTACACGGAGTACTTTCAATCCATAGTTACAATACAGAGAACTCACAATCCAAGTTACGCCAATGTTGTCCGCATCAAACAAAAATTGCGAGTTGCCAGTTTCTCTTTCCCTGTACATGCAGCTGTTTTAGGGTCACGTGCCCAGGCCCCCAGAACGGCACCCCCTTCATAGCAGACGGGAGTGCGACGTCGCTCATACCACCGACTCAGAGTCGGCGAACGCGTGGTGGCGGTCTGTAGAACTTTAATCCCAGACATGTATCATGGGATGCAGTCGGAGTAATCTGAAGGCCTAATGTAGATACTATTTGTCACGATAACCAGACGCTAGATTTGCACATTTTCAGAGGATTACATGTCAGGTTATGAACTTCATCATGTCATTTGTGAAGTTGATGTAATGTGCCAACGGTGATCATCAATTCACAGTTCAGAAAAATAGCATGTGGTGATTGATGTCGCATGACAGAATAAATTGACAATCAATGTTGGATTCAACAATACACGAATGGACAAGCGTGTATATTGTTCATAATTGAAAGATTATCGACAGTGTTCTCTAGAACAAGTCGTATGAACTCATACCTGTAAATATATATATATATTTTGTTACATTCCTCCAAAGTGTGTTACTTACGATATCAGAACAATTTTTCAACTAATTAATTAATGGTGGTTTAGTATTACATTACTAGCGCAGAATTAGAGAACACACACGATATAAAAAATAGTGAGTGCCAATTTCTAGTTTTAACTCAATCTCACTCAGACATGTTGAATGACTAAATGATGCCATCCAAAAGATTTATTTTTTAAATTACTTAATTTTTTCGTTAATTAATTAAAAGACGATGAAGATGAAGAAAGACCATTCTGTTCATGTACAAAATACACTGCCACTATGAAAGATGCAACACTGCGGATGACAAAAAGGCTGAAACTGGAACACAGTCCATTACTTTTCTTTTCATTCTTTCCTGTTAAGCTACACGGTAACCAAAACTGAAGTTGTAACGTAAATGCAAATTTAGGAAAAGCTTAAAAAATAGGAATTTGTTTCACTGACTTGCATCATTCTTCGGCGAAGGTAATATACGGAGAAAGGGTTGTACACTCAGAGCATGCAAATGAAGGGGCATGCGTGTACAGCGTCTGGGAATCATAAGCCCACATGAAAAAAGAGATAAAAAATAACAAAAATTGATTTCTAACCAGCTTAAGAGAGCTTGACTTCGACGTCCACACCAGCCGGAAGGTCCAGCTGCATCAAAGCATCGATGGTTTGCGCATTGGGGTTCTCGAGGTCGATGAGCCGCCTGTGCGTCCTGATCTCGAAGTGCTCCCGGGAATCCTTGTTGACATGAGGGGATCTCAACACACAATACACCCTCTTCTTGGTGGGTAGAGGCACGGGGCCCATGGTCTTGGCGTCCGAGTTGCGTGCAGCTTCCAGAATTTGCTGGCAGGCTTGCTCGATCAAGTTGACCCAGTAGGAGCGGAGCTTGATGCGGATTTTTTGCTTCGTTGCAGTCTGGTTGTTGAACATGAAAAGCGAGGTTGACGGAATTGTGAGAAAACTGGAGGATAAGTCAGAATGGAAAAAGTTGAAAACTATGGGTAGAGAGATGTGTGACTTACCAGGGGGGCCTCGGTTGCAGCAGCTGCCTTCACAGAGAGCCTTGGGTAATTGGGTGTGGACGAAGTCTGGCTGGCAGTTTGCCACACTGCGTTGGATCTTCTCACCACACCATCAGCCCTCAACCCCTCGAATGTCGACAAATGAGCCTACAGTGCAGGATTTCAGATTTTATTGACACTCCGTGAGAAACATCGCAGACTGTGAGCTCGACATCATGTGGAATCAATTTGCACCCTAGATAATATGAGTTAAATGTTCGATCCTCTTCTCACGACGCGGTGTAAGAGAGACTTAACACAATTCGTGCTTCCAACCAGGCAATCCATCCCTCAATATTTCAGCGTCGTTCGCGAGTTTGAGGAGCTGATCTTTTATAAGAAACTCCAATTTCATGTTTCAATGTAAAAAGCACACAACGAAACACCCACCTCATGCGACCCGAAACAATATCCAAGTTACAAGACATCAGTTGGAAGTCTATGATATAACCCAGAAGCCAGCTCAGGAGGGAAAAAAAAAAAAAAAAAAAAAAAAAAAAAAAAATACCAGCAAACACGTCGCAAACACGAAAACAAAGCCAGCCTGGACCTCCCTCACACAAACCCGACCAAAAAAATAATAAAAATAATAAAAATAAAAAAAATAAAAAATAAAAAACTCGAAAAAAAACCCCATAATTCTACTCCCACTCCTACATTACCACAGCCCCACATTGCCTATTCACTTCAACAATGCGAGAGAACTAAACATCAACCCACGAAACCAATTCCAATGACCAAACGCCACAAACTCCCAGACAAAACCCACATCAAACCACACACCAGCAATACTGGTAAAACCAAAATCCAAAATCAATTTCACGAGAAGTAGCTCGTGATCCAGCATGAGGGGGAGGGAGACTCACAACGGAAGGTGAAGCTCGCGAAACAGCGACGCGAGAAGAGGAGATTGCGGAGGCGGCCGCAGAAGGCAAAGCCACAGCAGCTGCTGCAAACGTAGCCGTAGACGCCATAGCTACCGCTTCTGCTGCTGGTCTGATGCTGCTGCTGAATCTGATGCTGGGTCTGCTGCGATGGGGGATGGAGAAGGAATTTTGCAAGTTAGCGAGTGAGATCGAGGGCCACCCGAAGCGCGAGCTTGTCTTCATACGCACTTCGGAGTTGCGGCTGCGTGCACCCAGCGTCGCCATGGCCTTGGATAAGGCCGCATTGGATGAATGAATTATGGATGAATTACATTATGATGGATGATATCGGCTTGGTACATCCGTCATCGTCGGGGGTGGCTGGCTTCATGTTTAACATGTAAACGAAGTCTAAGACCCACATAGGCACAAGAGAAGAGAGGGGATTGGGATCCTTGCCAAGACAAGGAAGAGGGGGGATGTAAATGGTGACCAAAACCCGGTCAATTTGGTAATAACTCCAATCAATGTAGCAATTTCCACACACACACACATATATACATATATATATATATATATAGGCTTAATTGACTAATACATTAGAATAGGTTTTTAATGAGCTTTTGTGAAACCTTGATTATTTCTCCCAAAAATGAGCATGTTGCGAAATAATGAATAAGAATACTTTGAACTTCTATTTTATTAGATTGTGAAAGAGTTATATTACATTGAGTATTAAAAGAATCTTTTTTAGAAAGTAAGTATATATTCTTAGCTAGCATAGGATGGCAACAATGGACAAAAATAATCATTTTAGAACTTGAAGTTATCAGTGAGATTAAATTGGGCTATTTCTATAGAAGTGATTGTTTTCAAAAAAACAAAAAAATAAAAAAATAAAATACACGTTGAAAAGATTTGTAATGGATGTCATCATAGAGAAACACTATGAACAAAAATGTTAACACTAATGATGGATTATTGGAGAAGCGGTCACCCATCAAGCCCCTTGCAAACCCTAAATCCTTCAAATTCTAAACACACCCCTCACATCCACATTCCAATTTTCTCCACCAAGTCTATGGGAGACTCCATTTGAAGGATGCTTCAATGAAGTTGGTCATATTTGAATTCATTCATTAATTTATTTTTATAAAAATAAATCTTCTCCAATCAGTCACATTGCACTCAGTGTTGTGCCCAGATGGTGAGTGTTGACAAGGCTCTGAGGTACCATTTGTTTTTTGATTCTCCTTCTCCTTCATATAAATTTTTTAATTTTAATTTGTTTTCCTTTTTTATTTCCATACAACCCTAAAATCCTAAAAGCTTACAGCAACTGGGAAGTGAGCCCATCAGTCCTGCCCTAATGAGCAAATATCAACATCAAAAGGATGAATCAAGTGCATCATAAATGGTACTCACCGAAGCTCAGTTTTGCACCACTTTTGCCTTATTTACCAACCCCACACTCATGCACTGGAAAAGGGTTAGAAAAGCTTTTTCTCTCATTTTTAAACCCTTGGGTTTGTCTCCATGGAAACTGAAGAGCTCTTAGCACAAGTGACAAAAATGAAATTGTAAAAACTAAAATAAAAATGTGTGGAATCATGGAATCCATTTGGATCACCCATGCTCTCTTCTCTCTCTTCTCTTTTTTATTTTGTCATGTAGAAACAATAATTTAGAATGGACTTCGAAGCTTGTATTTTGGCTTCTTTTTTAAAAAATCTTGCATTAAAAATCCTAAATCCAATAGATTTGGAAGATAAATATATATATATATATATATATATATATTTGGTTCATTTAGAAAAAATCCTAATCCTAATGGATGTATTTTGATTTTTTTTCTTTTTTCTAATATTTAGTGTGGGTTTCTAATAGTAGAACATAGGATGTTTAATCCATTGTTGTATGAGCATGATGCATGGTACTAGATAGAAACAACTATTATAATAGAGATGATGGGAGGAGTTGGGAGTACTAGATAGCTACCATGGATGACTAGACAAGTCCAACCTTGTCTTTGTACTTAAAAAAAACTAAAGTAGAGAGAGCAATTCAAATATTTGTAAAAAAAATTAAAATAATGCCACAACTATGCAAAAGTATTATATATATATATATATAAAGTACAATTTATATGTATATGATATTATATATATATATATATATATATATATGTATATGTAATTATATATGTACATATATATGTACTATATATGTATATGTAATTAGCAATAATTGATAAATTTTATTTTGATAAAGTTATAATATTTTATGAAAAAAAACTATTCCAATTTACAAATAAATTTGTTGATGAAATTAAAGCAAAAAAAAGTAATGTAAAATTCGATTACCTAACATGTATCTTTATTATGCAATTAGAAAGTATATAAAATATTTTATATACATTTTAAAATTAATTATTCAAATTGATTTTAAAAAAATTATACATATAAAACAAATCACAACCTTGTATATTTTTTAAGGTTTTTTTTAAATGTATTAATAATCATCCAAAATCTTTGAGATGCTTATACTACTCATTGAATATGTGTAAAAGTCACTAAGATCACATAAGAACTTTTGTAGTCCTCTAGAAGTTTCAATAAAAGATTCTGAATTTATTTTTGTAGAAGATTCATGCGACTTATAAAGTATTATAAATTTCTTAAAACTCCCTGTAGAATCCTCTATAAAATCCAATTTTGACAAGGAGTATCTTTGTCTTATCAACATTAGTTTTGAAACAATCCAAGTGTTATCTTGTTAATAGTCATATATCTATTTCTGTTTCTAATTAAAAAAAATATTGCTCCTCTTGTACTTCTTAACATACTCTCCCTTTGAGTTTGCAACTTTAACAATTAATTAAGTTATTTTTTTATTTTTTATTTTTTATTTTTTTCCTTCTTTTCATGTTTTTATTTTAATTTTAATTTTCATTTTTGTATATATGTTTTTTTTATTTTAAAATGATATATTTTATACTAAATGATATATATATATATATATATATATAGACACTTATACTTGTGGTAATTTTTGGAAGAAAATTTTATTTATTCAAATGTATAATTAGCTATTGGAAATCGCAAATCATCTCTTTTCAAGAACATGCATATTGAGTTGATTTTTATTTTTAAAGGTACATATTATTATTGTTATTATTATTTTAAATCTTACCATTTAATGAATCTTTCTAAGTATTTTTTTTATATTATATAAAGTTATATTTGAACTTTGATAGCAGTATCTTTTTAATAATAAATTATAAAAATTGTATAACTCTAAAGATCTTAGAATAGATGTAAAACCACAAAGTATACCAAATTATTTTTATGAGTTATTTAATTATTAATAATGTCTGATACTACAAGCAATTGTATGTAGAATCTTAAATAATTATATGTAATATTTTACTTGTTTTTTCCTTGACAAATTTTATATTTCATAAAATAAATATATATATATATATATATATATATAGGAAAAGTAAATCTCGATATAAAAAAAATATACGAGATATTTTTATAATAAAAAGTTTATATTGAACTTCAATTCTATTTTTTAAAAATATACTAAAGATACAATTAGTTTTAACAACATGCTAATACATTGATACTTCACAAATTAAAATTGATTTATTTTTACTTGAAGTGACCATCTAATATGCTAATTCTACATTTTTTATATTTCATTTTTAAAGGCCTGGCAAATTTTTCTTAACTATAAGTAAATAAATAAATAAACTACCACTAACTCCAATCTTAGAAAATATTGTATACTTTGATTTATGTCTTAAAAGAGAATATACATTTAAACTTAGATTAAAATATTTAAAAAAATTATAATCAAGGATAAAGATACATTAAATTAATTTTTTATTTTATCATTTATTCTAGAAAATTATTAATATTCAAAAAGATATGATTGAACTTTATTTTAAACAACTATAAGTTGGTAGCTTTGAACAAGGCTCTTAAGAAGGTGTTTTCAAATTAGTTTTTGAGTTTTTAAATTTTTTAAATTTATTGGATTGGTCTGTAATATCAAACAATTACAGAAAATGTAGTAATTTGAGCATGTATACACATGCATTGAGTAAAGATCAAATCGTAATTTATGCTATAATAAACTCATTATATATATATATATATATATATATATATTTGACATATACTGAAATGGTTCGGTAAAATTGCACATTAAATATGTTACTAAAAAAAACCGTGCTTCTAAAATACAACAAATTACAGAAAAATATCCATATAAAACTTTCAAAAAAATTTAATATTATTTTAAAACCTTCTAAAGGTTTTAGCTTTATTTACTAATTTTTCATATATATAAATAAAATGACCTCTCAAAATCTCCTACAATATTCTAGAAATTTTCAAGAACCTTACCTTGTCTTTTTGGAGTTTCTGCTATATTTTAAATATGTACATTTAAACTCTTATATAAAATTTAGAATTCTTTTTCAAAGAGTATTCAGACTTTGAGGACTTTATAGACATATAGACACTACAGTATTCAAACTACCTCTTAAAGTATTCTACAAGACCTAGTTTTTATAATTTAAATACACAAAATTCAAAGTTATGTAATATTGTAAATACAGTATTTTTAAGTGATGTAGTTATTTCTTTGTTCATATATTTGTACCAAATTATATTTTCAATATAATGTATTTTCTTCTTGCATCTTTTTTTTTTTTTTTTTTTTTTTTTTTTTTTGTCCCTTCTCTTCTCTCTGAATCTTTGATGTAAACAAAATGTTATATAAAATGTCATCAAAATTTTCTAAACGATAAAATTTAGCAAAACTAATATGACAATGAATATATTAAAATATTTAATTTGGAATTGTATTTATAACTGTGTCACAAATCTCTTATTTTGTATTTTGTTTAATATATTTTAAGGAGGATCTCTCTGCTGTACTTATATATGAATAAACAATAAAAAATTATGTATGTATATATATATATATATATATATATCATAAAAATGTCAGAATTTTTCTTTGATCATTCTTTGCATATTTAATAAAAAGAAAGAAAGAAAAAAAACACTCAACTGCAACATTGTAAATTCTTGCTCAACTTGGAAACATAAACATTTTCATCCACATTTCATTATCTATAGTTAGTGCTATTTAACTTTCCATTTGTTTATTTGTGCCTTTTAAATTCTATTTACGTTGTAATACAAATCATTGATTACTCTTATTATTTGAACAAAAGTATGATAAACAAAACCAAAATTAAATCCAAATTT